CTAGCAAAGTGGGATCCATGCTCGTCAAATTTCGCGTTGGGCCAGTACAATGCAAACGGTCGCTTCCCATAAAAGACGCCTCTGCAGGACCAGATGAAATCCATGCAGTGGTCCTACGAGAAGCAGCATCTTTGAAAATTGCGCCACACAACACCAATCTTCGAAAGAGGTCAATGAGTCAATTCGAAGAAGCACATGTAGCTGATGCTCTTATTCATACCTTCCAGAGTAATGCAATTGTTGATTCATTACTCCAAGGAGATTAGCGTCTTTCGGGCCCAGCAAGATAGATTTATAAAAGTGTACTCTCGCATTGTTAACTTTCTCACCGCAGTTGGTGGAGAGACGAGTATTGTCGACCGTCAGGGAGGAAATGGCATCATTTATCTGGACTTTATCAAAGCATCTGATTGCCTCCAACCCAGCTGCCTTATTCATAAATTAGTGTTAATCAACATCAGATCACCATTCACTGACCGGTTGTTTTAATGTCCATGTGGTTGTTTGTTCAGGGTTCGTATGGGTCTTTCTAAGCCTGAAGAGACGGACTGTCCAAGCAGAGTTCCCCATGGATGTATATTAATGATAATAACAATATTTTATTCTTGCAAGTGCAAACACTCCGGTTAACAGGCATGGCCATATGACCATACCATTGAAATTCCTGTGGTAGTAATACAGCGACAACTTGAAACAAAAAAACGCTCAAACGACGAGAAATATCTTAAGTTGAAAACAAAACAAAGTCCCAGTGACCACAAGAGGCACAGGGTCCACTTCCTTTTCTAACTTAAGTGACCAAATCGCCCCAACAGTCTGCCTCCGAAGTCTCCCATTTCCAGGATGATGCGAAACTACGTGGTCGGAAAGAGGTGTCTCCCAACAGTAATACAACCTAAATTCAAGAGTGTGGGACCAAAAACGGGCCCCAATTGTTCTTGATAAGTGCGAGGTTGTTCACAAAAAACATGATACATGTAATGTTTGTAGTTTCAACAGTGTTGAGCTTGGAGAGCCGCGGGGAGGAACGACTTTAGGATTTTAGCCCTTCGAGACTGTGAATCTTGCGCCAATCGTGACAGAAACATATTTCATAGAAACTTTGAACTAGAGACTCATGGACGAGTTTTAAGACATTCGGATAGTAGATATTTCCGCCAACTTTTAGGTAGCTTCACGCGACCTCACCTGGAGTTGTTCTTCCTTCTCTACAGAAAAACAAATTGGGACTGGAATGCATCTACAGGTGGCCAATTATGTCTGTCCGTGATCCAAAACGTTTGAGGGACGACCAGGTGCGCCTGACCTAAATCCTCTGAGATCTATAAGACTAAGATGGGACTTAATAATGGCCTGCAATGTCTTAAACACCGCAAACAGCCACTGTACCACTTACCTAACTTTAATTGCAACACCACTCTGAGGAAGCACACACAGGAGCTAGGCTTGGAACATAGCAGATCAAACATCAGGCGCAAGTTCTACTCTTCAAGGGTTGCAACATCTTGAAACGTTCTTCCTGGTTCATGCGAATCGCTTAACCACCGAGTACATACTCATTCAAGATGTGTTGGGGTGCCTACTGAAAAGTGGTTTGATTTTCCTATTTTAATCGACTTCTTTCCTCTCACTTTTGGTGAATACACGGGTTTGTGACCACAGATTAACGGATTCTAGACATGAAGGCCGGCTAAGTGAGTGCCTTCTTTATTGGGTCGGCAACCGTTTGAACCATTCTGCCGAGTGATTCGTTAGTTTTCATGCGGCAGAATCTTGTCCAGATACTTTTAGCTGAACTTTATTGGTGGATACTTTTATCAAACTCTGAGAAGTATAAATCCATGCCCTAGTTCATATCCTCAAAAGCAGACAGAAACATAAAGGCGCAGGGTCTTTAAGTTAAAATGTTAGAGCTCCAATCCCTCTGTCTTCTCCCTGTCCTGAAAATTATCATCTTTATGGAATCATGGTTATGGCTAGACATTAGCGGCAAAAAGGTATTTTCTCCAGGAGAGACAGAGAACACAAGGACAGACGCGTGTCACAGTACACGTGAACAGTTGATTCAGAGGTGAAATAGCTACTGATACCGCATTGATAGAGCTCCACAGCTCAACTGGGTGATATTCCACGGTTAAACGCGCTAAATATCTTGTCGGAGTGGCCCACAGGTCTTCCAATAACAGCGTGAAAAAATCCAGAGAACTCGAAGTAATATCCACGGTGTCGACTATTGGGTATGGCTAGGTTCTAACAGCTGATGACTTCAACCCCCCGGCTGCCGGCCTAGAGCAAGGCAGCACGACTCCGAGCAGGAAGCTCGATCGTAACCTGTCAAGTACCATCAAAATGGCTGGGCTGAGGGTCAGATGGTAGGCCATCCAAACTGGATTAGCTGCTGACTAGTGGTCATCTACCATCTGAAAACCTCCAGATTCAAACTCCTCTTGGAAGCAGCGATCATGACGCGGTAGCATTCGACCTGTTAGTCAACGAACAACTGTCGCTGGAGGGATCTTGCCATTACCTGTTTTACAGCAGGGCAAACTGTGAGGCAATGAATCGGTGCCTATAGGGAGCTCCTTGGCCAGTGGACTGGTGCTCCTTGTCGGTTAACCAGCACTGGGAACTAGTAACGAACATCATTAGGCTGGCGACTTCCGAAAATTTTCTCCTAGTCGTGAAAACAGCCAGAAGCTGACCTCATGGCCAAGATGAGACACAGAGAGCCTTCTGAAGGCAAGAGAAAAGCATGGCGCAAATAGGAGCTGGGTTTTTGTTAACGCGAAGACAATACTTCCGCTTGTCCAACTTGTAAATTTTTGCGCGCTTATCCTGCTGGGATGTTCCATTAAATGAACATGCCGCACTTATATCTTCTAGTTACAACGGGTGGGGATTAAATTACCCTCCATGAAGATACATGTAATTCATATAGAAACTTGTTCACACCTGTAAAAATGTTGTGTGCCTGAATATGCAGGAATAAATGTTATTATTATAACTACTATTAATAGAAAGAACGGGACGACCGAGACGCTTATACAGCTTCACGAAATCTACGTGACATCGGCACGCGAAGACAGGAGGTTGTTTTAGTTCAACCTCATCTAGAAGCCTTAGGCAGACCCCAAAGCCTACACCTGTTCATGGTGAAGAGGGAATCTATAAGAAAAGGAGCATGGGTCATCGACAGTACGAACGGGAAAGTCTCTCTGGACAAAAAATCGCGGAAATGGTGAGCATCACCCTTGACACTGCCAAAAGTCACATCACGCAAGCACGTGGATTCACATCCCGAGCAGATGCTAGCATCATCCGATGCACCAGGGTTATGCCAGCCACAGATGACTCATGCTGTTGTTCTTGATAAGCTATCAAGGCCACATGCGGGAAAATCTCCAGGGCTTGATGCCATCCCTTTCTAAGCAGTATGCGAGTAATCTAAGTGGCCCGCTTTGCAACCTTTTACAGCACTCCTAAAATGAACATGGGCTCCCACGGGAGTGGAAACGTGACATCATCTTCCCCATCTTCAAAGGAGGGGACAGGCAGAACCCGAAGTGCTGCCGACCCATAGCACTTTCATCAGTAATGTCAAAAGTTGTGGGAAGCACGACGGACAACGACATCAGAGAATACCTAGACGCAAGGCAGCACTTAGTGATGCTCAGCACAGCGTCCGAAACGGTGGGCCCCGCTCCACAAACCCCTGACGGCTCCAAGGTGCTGAACAACATGTCGGGACCTCAAGGTCCTGGCCCACACGGTTTTTCTGGATTTTGTTGAGGCCTTTGACAAGGTCTCACGGGCCATCCATAAACCCAAAACAGCGAGTCTGTGTATTCGTGCCTGCGGAACTGCTTAGATGGTAGGAAGTTAACAGAGCTTAGTCATCTTGGAGAACGCCATCCTCCGGTGCATATTAAAGAGCGATTCCGGGTCCGCTATTGTTCCTACTGTTCATGAGTGACCTCCCGCTGCATATCAGCTCTCCTATTCTCCTTGAAGCTGACAACTTCAAGCTTTTAAGAGCGGTGATATTGGAAACGGAATGGAGTGCACCGCAGGACGACCTCGAAGCACTGGAGTTGGTGAAAAATAACGAGCTGACATCCAACCCAGGTAACTAGGTGTCCTCACCCAACATTTGTTTCTGAAACTCTACTAGACCTACATGTGACCCCACGTAGATTTCTATAACGTCTTCCCTCCGCCGCACCAGAACAGAGGTGTGAACCTCCTGGAGATAGTTCAGAGGCGAGCCACGAGAAATGTTGTTGGGATGCATCAAAAACCATAGAAGATAAACCAGTGGATCTAGGCCTATAACCTCTTAGTTACCAAAGCTTACGAGGCGGTTTGATAGTGACTTACAAAATACCAGGTGACCCTAATCACTCAAACAGATAAATTCCACCGGGTGGCCACTGGGGTGATCCTCTTGGAAACCCTGGGAGAATCGCCCATAAAAAGTCAAAAAATCATGTGTATTTACACTTCTCCTTCCTTCAAGTCTGCGAGAACTGGAACACATTGCCAAAAGAGGCGGTCTCCGACCCAACTGTTGACCGTTTCAAAAAAGGCCAGATAGTTTATCAGTGGTCCACGGTTTACGCTCATCTGGTTGGAATGCGACCCAGACCGACTGTCACACCATTTCAACGCTGTTACCCCTACAATAAGTCTCTTCGTAATCTACTTATTTAAGTCCCTCCCATGCCTCTTAATCGCCAAGACTAAACCTCACTCACCTAAGTTCTGAATATCTTTGCACTCCCCGCGTCTCACTTGGATGTAGGCAGATTAAGTACACTCCTTCATTTCGCTTTTCTTCGTTTTTACTGACAAACATTTGTCTTCCTGGGTTATCCCTTCACTATTCCCAATCCTCTCCTACTAACAGCTCGAAAAACTGTCAGAAATTTGAAGAACCGAAGTGCACCTCAGTCCGCCACTAACCACTTGAAACATTTGTTGGGAGTATTTGTTGCAATGCCAATTGAAGGTCTTGCGGTATTTTCGAGGTTGTTTTTTTGGCTGGTTTTGTCTGCATTATTGTGTCATAGATATTCAGGATGACGATAATGTTTCCCATGGTTCTAACCACTTTTAGTCGGATACTATTGAAACCACAGCCGTAACATTCTTAGAAATACTTTTTTTTCACGGTTTTACTTGTTTTCTCCGTCGCCCAACGTGTATACAAAAACTGTAGTTCATGTTCAAATGATTGTTAAGTTTATGTGGTGTCTGGCGCCGATTTACTAATAGAGTATATATATTATATCAACATACCTTACTAATCGGGGTTTAATCTGTTGAGATACACTTAACGTTAACTTCCTGACCAGTAGAAAATTCTACTGGAGCTGCAGTCAATACTGATTGCAGCTCCAGGCAGTCATTTCATGATATTTGTGTGTCAAGTAATAATGCATGCTTCACGCTCCATAACTTCTTTCATGCTTTAATCAACAGTGTAGGGGGGCTGGATTCCATTCACGTGAATTGACTGGTTTCATGTCGCCTACCTCCGCATGTACTGCTTCTGTATTAAGACATGCCGATCAGCCTGGACTGTCCTATGTGTTAACGTCTACGGATTTTGCAAATTAAATTTGTATGACGTAATCTATGGTTCTCCAGTCAGTTCTTTGTACCAGTTACTCATAACAGTCAAACGCAAGGCAAACCAATGAAGCAATTGACTAATTACATCATAAAGAAGTAATATTTAGTCCTTTTGGCATTAGGTAAAATGTTAGTCATACCGCTGTGAAATGATGTGACAGTAAATGATGCAGTCACTTACATTGACAGTACAAATTGGGATGATCAGTCACAGGTATCGGATTTTCCTGGAACATAATTTTATCTCCAAGCTGTAAAACTAGGTCGGTTTGAAGTCAACGAGTAAATTTTTACGAATGGAACCATCTCAAATAGTACTAGTTCGGTCGACTGACATTTTGCATAACCAAATGATGAACGAAATTGGAAAAGTTGGTTCATAACAGGTCACGGAGCAATGACTTTCAGAGGGATAAAAATTGTTTTTATTAGGGTGAACGACTCTGGACAAAACATGTCATTTTTATCCGATTTAAGTGTTTATGTGAAGTTTTTCGATCGTTGATATACTTCAGCTAGGTTTCACTTGCAGCAGTCAGCATTATATCTAAGACAATCTAGTCAGTCCAATCGTTTTTTAACCTGTTGGCGCTAAAAAAATGCAGCAACAAGGGAAGTTCGCCCTCCTGTGAACCAACATGGCAGTGAAAATTTTGTTTGGAACCGTAAGTGCTATCCGTCTGTCCCTCTAAAACTACTGGTTGGCATTTTCCGACTTACCATTTCATGGGCTGTTTACTCGTTGCAGTTATATATCAAGTACTTGTGAAAATAAGACAGCTGACAGCTTTTGCAAGTTTGATATTGGTATAACTTCATGACAACTGTTTTCACCCAACTCGATTTTTGATGCGATAAAGTCTTCAATGCGAGAGCGAACCTATTGTCCACTTTCGATTTTGGGGTCATTTTCACAGTCTATCTGTAAGAACGGCAATCTAAAGAATAAAGTTGGTATGGCGATAAGATATTTCAAAGCCACAGTACCCCGTGTCAGCTTGAGACAATCTAATATTTGTGAGCTGCTTAGTACAACAAAGATCACAATTCGGAATTGAGGCGAAATACACTTAGCAACCTTGTACAGATTCGTGCGGTAGGCAATGAGTCACACCTATTGTGCTAGGGCTAATAACACTCCCTGGCTGCCCAAGCCTCGGTAGGCGGAGCAGGACTTGAACCCGTGGCCTATCGGTCAAAAGTCATCAGCCTAAACCAATGAGCTACATCTTCACTCAAAACAATTACTTGCTATGGGTTTTATGTAAATGAAGCATGATAATAATGATAATGAGAAGGACCAAATTTCTGCTACAGTTATCTGTGAAATCGATTTTCATGTTATCAGTTATTTAATGGTGTTTGAAAGTCTAATCCAAAAAATGGTTGTCTTTAAAAGCTATTTTACAGACTGAAATGTGTTATCCGAAAACTGGACCAACTTCAGGAGCTGCATACCTCCGGAAAATAATGACCAGCACATTTTTGGGAAGGTCCTGTACACTTGCGATAGAATCAAGGTTATCAGTACCTGCGATTCTGGTTGCATACTAAACACTTGTCTTTGCATCACTGTAAAAAATACCCTTTCATGGGAAAAAAAGTAAATCAACTGTCCGCATCAAATGGCATATAGCAAGCAATAATGAAAGAAGACTATGGATAAGTAAAATTCTACCTATCCCCATCCCTAGTCAAACCGCAGAATTTGAGAGTTTTTAGTCGTATTCCTAATATCTCTACTGTTTGGTAAAAACTGAAAGGTTTTCCATACGTTTATCATGCATCAAACGGCTAAAACCGTTTACTCGTTGTTTCTATTCTGATTCAAATTAGCAAGTACCTTGTCTTTTTCAGCGGGGAAACTCCGTATTATGCACACGTCGTCTGAGCAAAATGTATACATTGGAGAACAAGTTAATTCATTCACAGATCAGGTTGTGACCGGAAGATTTAGTCATCATGTAGGACAAACTTTAGACCATAGGAATCTAACATCTCGTTCACTAACTCTAAACAGAAGTAAGCTATGTGTGTGGGTTATTCAGTCTTTCAGTGTAACTAATTTTTCGAGTTATGGAAGTATGTTTTTGAGTTAAAATGTTAATCTTTTCGACTCGCCTTTTTCTGTTTGCCTATAAAGTTGTAGCTCAATAATTTTGGCTTTCGACTTCCTGCTAATAAGTCACTTGTGGGAAGCCAGATGTATCTACCAAGGTTTAGGCGGCTCTGCAGCATTACTACTTTTCACACTGGTGCTCGTTTAGAAGATGATGTAACTTAGCGGCAGTACAAAATTAACGAACAGACGGATAAGATTAACATAGCACCAGGTTTTACTGCGTAGCGGTCTAAGTTGCCACACCGCATGTCAGCATATCAAGCAAGAAAGCACTAAGATAAAGGATAACGAAATACAGAAAGCAGTCAGTGGTAGAAAGTTGTGATAAAATACCAAAGAGGAATACGAAAAATGCTGACTTTAGTATGCCGATTGAGATGAGGATCATGTGTGGATGATCCTGCAGCACTCAGATCGGATCTCACTACGTCCATTTTGCACTTTCACATCGCCCCCAACTGGGAAGTCTACAATCCCCAACATGACTAAGACGAAAAGTCAAAAGACGGATAACTATGTATCCTGAGATTTCGCACACGATACTAGTCAAACTGATTTCATTGTAATCGTCACAAAATGATTTTTCTTCTTTCGTATAGACTGGGGTGATCAGTAAAATAAACTAGTTTAAAGGCAAAAACTCTGATTAGTACACACCATAGACGATTACCGTTGTCGGTTTGTTGACACGAGACTGTGTAAATACCTCCAACTTCCCTGCCTTTTGGCTCAGCTTCCCTACTTGAGAGTTAAAGTCGTCTATTACTATGACTATATCTGAACGTTTCACTTTCTGTAGTAACACTGATAGCTTTTGATAAGAACTCATCCTTTCATCTTTCGAACTGCAGTCGCTGGATGCGTAAGCGCAGATTACGAACAGGTATCGGGTAGTCTCACGGTCCTTCCTAGTTCTTACAGATCCATTCAGTCAAGTAGCACACAGACAGATCTTGACTGTTATTCAGTCGAGGAGTGAACTTTCTAATTGACAACTTGATGGTAAGCCTAGACCAGTGAATTTACGACAGCTAATCATTAGGTCTCCGGATGCTCGTGAAGTGGATTTTGAATATTCACTGCGATGGCCCGGTGAGGTCTACTGCATAACCACACTCGAGATTCCAGAGTTCTGGTGAGTGGTTTCTGCTGTCTGATTTGGCTTAGGATTCGGACGTTGAAAGCTTCGGCGTGAAATTGACACTAGGATCTTAGGGGACTGGGAGTGGGGTATCGATGGCTTAGATAGTTGGCAATGGTCACAGAGTGGGAGGTTGAGGAAGCTATCAAACGATTTTTATTGATGTCAGGAAGTGCAGACAAATGAGAAGACAGAGGTAAGGAGGATGTGTTATATCTGATTGGATCTTGTATACTACTAGGAGCGTGCGGTTGGCTGAAACTTCCAGGTTCCCCGTACCCTGGAGGTTGTTTCTGCAGGGTACCTGAAGGAGAAAACAAAGAGATTTTTGAGACTACAGAACCCATGGGAAATCTGCTTGAGGCCTGTCACACAGTCTTTTTAGAATCGTTGGTACGTGATTTGGTTTTTCTAACATTAGACAGAGAAAACCCATAACACTGGCACTGGAAGACCACAGGGTGGGGTGGAGTGTGTTATTTTGGATGTCGTCTTCAGAAGTCTAATGATTATGGATCCTAGTTTCTGTCACATTATGTTCGTCAGACTATTCCCGTTTTGGTTGAAGTAGAATTTCTCTTTTTTCTAAAACTACTACAGTCAGCGGTCAGCTATGGTCATAGGCGTCCATATTTGACTCCTCTATTCTAGTTAGAAGTTTACTTGTCCAGTAATCTACCATTGTCCTTGAATACTTCTGGTACTTCTCCCTTTGGCCCTGCTGCTCTTCCTCGTTTCAGATTGCTTACAACTTTCACGACTCCGGTAAGTTTTGAGGTTTTATCTCGATGTTTCATTCAGGATCCGACTGTATAACGGTCAACGAATTGCTGCTCATAAGCCGGTTGAAGTGCACCATTTATCGTTCCATTCATTTCTCTAGCTAGTAAATCACAGACCCATCTTTCTCCTCTATAGTCTCATTAACCACTGACCTTTTCACCCGTTTCCCTAATAAGTCTGAATAACTTTCTACTGTCATCTATCACCACTGCTTTTTCCTTCTCTTTAGCTTTCTCTGCCCATAACTGCTCTTGGTCATTGCGTAGACCTTTTGTCAATTTACGTTTAAGCGGCATTCGCTCATTATTGTGCTTCGAGCCTGTAAGGATGTGTTCGCGTACATCCGTTAAATCAAAGGCAGTTGCCGAGATTTAATGACTCTTTCAAACCACTCCTTGATAATCGGCTGGAGTCTTCGATGCTACTTTCACAGCAGACTGGAGATGACATCAGGCTTCTGGATGAGTGATGTTATTCTGTTCCGATCACTTTCCTGCTGAAATCATCATTATTTCTCCCATTGTCGAGCTGCAGCCTCAATAATCTTGTTGCTTTAGTTTTTCTACGTATATTGAGGTGCAGACAGATACGTGGTGGAACCAACGCGTGGTCATTGTTCACACCTGTTCTAGAAACGTTTGGTAATCGTCCACTTACCCTCTGTGGCGATAATTGATAGCAAAGCAATATGGTCCATCTGTATCCACTGTTGAGTTCGGTGGACATCATGTCAAACATTGTATTTTCATGTCTGAAGTTCGTACTGATTCGAACCCCTCAGAAGTGCGGCAGTCCTAGTTGCTACGCCTCACAATAGCATCTGAAGAACGAATAGATAGAAAAATGATATCAGAGTAGCACAGTTTCAGCATGTGATTGCTGTTATCCGTTCGTTCGCCTTAGATTCTGAAAGTGCCAGCGTAGTTCCTTTCTATGTGGCTTAGCCTACTGACTTTTGCCCTGAAATCACCTGCTGGGACAACCATGTATGCGCGTTTGATTTTCAGCAGGAGACGTCACAGTTCCCGGTAGTAATCATCCTTCACTTCATCTAAACTGTAATCAGTGGATGAGTAAACGGAGATTGTAAAGAGACAACATTGAATTTCACTGCTTTTTTAGCCCTCACTACACCGTCCTACCAAACAGACAACAGACTGACAAGATCAACTAGGAACCTCGCATAAAAGTTCATCGGTCCAAGTTACCACTCTTCAAAGTGATGGTGTCAGCTGGGATCCATTTAAGCAGTGCAGTTTTTCCTTTGGGCTTAATGGTGTACCTACACTTGAAAAACTGTGAGAACTAACCATCGAATATGCAGAAACTCGTTGGGTGGATATGGCAAGTTTGTAGTACGACCGCCTTCGAACCCGCATAATAGCTTAATAGTTTGGGCTATAACGAAAACTACTGTTTTTCATATCTCTTCCCAACAGACTTTTATAGTATAGTAGACATGCAGAAATCCTAAATGCACTCACCCACGACATGCATGTTCATGCTATAGACAGCCCTACCCATTGTGATAGATAATAATACAACCTGGCTGCGTAAACCTTGGTAGGTGGATCGGGTTTCAGATCCTTGACCGACTGGTAGAAAGCTAACTGTATACATTCATGAACCACAGCTCTACTGGTACCGTAGGACCTCAAGAGAACAGGTGTTCCCTCCAGCATAGCTCGCTGGATCATTGTGATATGCTAGTCTTACCACCAGGTCTGAGTTTCAGCTTTCGGTTGGGTGTGGTGGTAGCAGGATGCCTAGACCAAATAGGAAGAAATATTTTAAAAGTTTAGTACGTTTCACAGATGTATGCACAATTATTGAGCTTCACTATTTGATTAAATTCCGTGACTTTCTGTCTTGAAAATGATCAGTTAATAGATAATGATAACCTCCAATCAGAAGTTATTGCCTGTCCTACTTTTTAGCGATTAACATAATAAAGAGTTTGATAGTGTAGTTAGCACTTGATTAGTCTCACTAGTTGCCCCAAACGATGCTTTTGAAATTAGATTGGAGTTCAATCCATGGGTAACCACAAAAGAGGAATCCAAGGCTTGATGTTTATGAGACAGCATGACTTTGCGTAGCAGGGACAATTTGTCACACTTTGCAGAACGGATACAAAACGGATACCGCCACCATTTTGCATAAAAACACGATGATTGTAGTTTTTATTCAGTTGCTTAGACTCCACTCATGCTTCATTTCAAGAACGCGTTTATCTTGAATCGGCAAAGAAGACTAGTATATGCGTCGATAAAGTAACAACTATGAACTGGATATTTGTACTGACTTAAGAATACCTTCAATGTGTTTTAAGGGGAACTAGTTAGGCAGTTATCAAAGGACGACAACTACATTTTATAAGCTTGTATATCAAGTTTTCGTTTTCCTCAAATGTTATCATTGGTTTGCGAACTGTTCGTACTAAATTACCTATGGTCATTTTGACAGAGCTCCGTATTGTGAGATGTTAGATTGTGACGGTAGTTGATTCAGTACCTCGTTAATTTTGGTTTTCTACAAACTTGTCACAAAAATACCAAGTGTTTTGATGTCTTAGAACTTTAACTGATATTACGTTCATCATTATCCTCTCTCCTTGTGATACGTTTTTGATTTTTGTAACCCTCTACTGTTTTCTATCCTAATTTTTACCCCCACAGTGCTCAATCATGGACTTCCTTTTTCAGAAACATGGTGCCCTCCTGATTTCAGAGTAAGTGGATAAAGCACTTTAAGTCGAATTAAGTTTTAAACTGTAAAGTAATATACTTTAAAATTACATGATCTGTTCTAAAGCATCGTCTCACATTTGACAGGCACAAATCGCACGTCAACAGACTCAGAAAAATCCTCAATGTGTTCGGTAGATTGCATTTTGTCAACATCACCTTACGGGACTGTTTTTTACGTTAACCAGGGGCTCTTATATCAGTGAATTAATGCCTGAGGAATCGTAGGTCCCCGGAGTCATGTCTATTAGTATGTTTATAACAAAGCTAAATTACAAATTGAGCGAAAAATATTTCTTTTTAATTAGCTCCTCATCGTCGGCCATAAACTGTAATTTCTTTCCCTCAATACAATGTACAAAACCAATACGGTCATGTTTCATGTGTCCATCATGTTTCAGATACATATGTTCTCTAGCTAGCACGTGATGAGGATTTGAGCAGACACTTCAAAAGAGCGACAAACCACTGTATATCCTCTCCAGCAATGGCTTATTGCGATATGAACTGTCTGTATCCACTGTTGGCGGACTCTAAGTGAAGCAGTGTTTCTCCTTATGCTTGAAGTTAGTGCTGGTCAAGAATAAATGATTGTCAGCGCAAATTATAGAGGACAACCGCCTTCCCATCGGTCTGGGATTCCGTAGATGCACCAAAGATGACTTTCTAATTGGTTCAGTTTCCCTAATTGACTGTTAAATTGGTCCTTTAGTATGACCATATTCGAACGTTTTGATTTTTGTAGCAACACTAACAGCTTTAGGCATAACTCATCTCTTGCATTGTCCGACATACATTTATTGGCGCAACGAATTTCACTGTCCTTCCCAGTTCGTACAGATCCATTCAGCCAAACTGACGTCCAGGTGAGAAGCGTCTTCTCGGTGCTATCGTCATCCAAGTGGGCCTGCGTAAAGTAAATGTCAAATTCGCAGGTCTTTTTAGGGTGAATTTTGCAGATTTACGTTAACTGAGTGGAGCAGGGTCAATAAAAACACCTGAGTTCTTTATATATAGCACGGAAACAACACAACCACGACCTGAGTCACTAAAGCTTTAGCACATTAGACTAGTCTGAATGGGCCTTTGGTTTAGTTGTCGAAAGCTAAAATATATAATTGGTCACGTAGTTTCAGGAGACTAGAAATGCTGTTTCTCTGGCTTAAATTCTTAGTAGTGGTCACAGGGTAAGACGTTGAGGAAAATATTGGTAACAGAAACAACTGTTGCATCTAAAGGAGGATACGAAGGTATAAAGAAGGGAGGCTAGGGTTGAATGGGTTTTGTTTACTCTTGGAAGTATGCAGACGGTTAGCACTTGTCTTTCCACAGCGTAAAAGTCGATGTCTTCTTGAGTTTCCTAGGAGAAGGCGCGGGTTAGTGAAGTTAGTCCTACCAACCTGTGTGAGTGACCTCAAAGCTCAAGGGAAATCTGCTTCACGTCGCTGACACGCACTTTTGGTGCACTTTAGATTTTATTTTATTATGTCTGCAAGTGCAACAAAGCTCTTGCTACTGAAATTGAAAGTAGAAAAGAGAAAAATGAGTCATTTTCAGAGCCAACCTTTTCTAACTCATCCTTCCGATGAGGGAAGATAGTATTAGCCTGAAATGCTGGTTATCGGTCGGTAACAACTTGCAGCTGCCAAACCCCCATACGTCTTTGCTGTCGAACCCCGACTACAGCTTCCATTATTTGCTCTCGAACAATAACTGCTCTTTGTCTACGTCTATACAAAAGACCTCTCTGGTATATAGAAGATTATAAACCACTCTTATGTTAACAGCTCATAATACTATCCGGCTGCGCAAACCAGAGTAGAATTATCAAGTGTGCTATTCATTTTCTAACTGGACGAATGTCGTTGAGTAGTAGCAATTTACTGTCTTGTTGTCTCGTCTTGATATTCATGCTTATAAATGCGTAAGTTATTTATCAAAAACATACAGACGAAGGATCGTTCATACCACATTTTGTATTTAGTTTAGTCAGTGGGAAATCAAGTTCACGTGAAGTCAATTCTTTTCCAGAAAGGTGTATATAAAGTTGGTCACATTAATATATGAATGATGTATTTTCATGTATAAATCAAATCGTGTGATATAATTCCCGGAAAGTTTATTTGTTGCTATAACAGAAAGTAAGGTTATAAATACTTGATTATAAAAAAACCATACCAACTAAGTTCTAATACCATCTGTAACAGTTTTACCAAAAAAGTCGTTCATCGGTAATGTTCATGTATGACAATACAGGAAGCAAAAGTAAGTCGGATAAAATTGTATTCACACCCTATTACCTTGTTTTATTTCATCCAATAATCACCTTTAATGGATTGAAGCAGTCCGTCGTAAAATGAAAGCATTTATTCTGTAGAGTTTTCTGAGGGAATGCTGTAACGCTTGGAGTCAGGTTGTAACAGAAATGTGTGCTATCCTTTGCATGTATTATTATTATTTATTATTAGTCCCTTGGGTTCCTAGTGGAACATAGGGCTTCAGTAGCACGCCTCCAGTGACCTCTGTTCTCTGAGATCTTTTGAACCTGGTTCCACGACAGCCCAGAAGCTCTCATTTCCTCCTCGCACGACCTCCTCCATGTCACCCTCGGACGTCCAACTCGTCGCTTCCCATGGGGATTCCACTCGAGGGCCTGACGCGTGATGTCCTCAGTCGGCCTTCTCAGTGTATGCCCAATCCATCTCCACTTCTTCCTGCATATTTGTTGCGTGATAGGTTCTTGGTTGGTTCGTTCCCAGAGTTCCTTGTTGCTTATTTTTTCTGGCCATCTGATCTTCAGCAGCGAGCGTAAGCAGTTGTTGATGAATGTCTGTAGTTTATTGGAAATGCCTTTCGTGACGCGCCAAGTCTCTGAGCCATACAAGAGCACTGACTTGACGTTGGTGTTGAAAATCCGTATCTTGTTCCGCATGCTGAGTGCAGAAGATCTCCACACTGGTTTCAGGCTAATGAATGCCTGTCTTGCTTTTCCGATTCTGACTTTGACGTCCTCGTCCGTCCCGCCTGTAGTTGAAACAGTGCTTCCTAGATAAGTGAAGGAGGTTACTTCCTTCAAGTTTCTACCGTTGACGGTGATTGGAGTTTGTTGTTGTTGTTGATGGTGGTGGTGCGGTATCTTCATCACTTCTGTCTTCTCTATATTCACCTGAAGTCCCGTCTTAGCTGCCTCCTCTGTCAACTTGTTAGTTTTTGCCTGCAGATCTTCAAGTTTATGTGACATTAGGCATAAGTCATCGGCGAAATCCAAGTCTTCTAGGTTCTTTTCCGTCGTCCAGTGTATCCCCCTCTTCTCGCTGCCTACTGTTTGCTGCATGATCCAGTCCACCACAATTAGGAATATCATGGGGGATAGTAGGCAACCTTGTTTCACTCCTGTCTTCACTTCAAAGGCATCACTGAGCTTCCCATTGTGGATTACTTGGCATGTGGCATCTTCATATAGTTGTTGAATGAGGCGGATAAAGGTTTGCGGTACTCCGTAGTATTGAAGCAGTTTCCAAATTACTTCTCGGTCGACGCTGTCAAAGGCCTTCTCAAAGTCGATGAAGTTGAGGTATAGAGCTGATTGCCATTCTACGCTCTGTTCTATGATGATACGAAGCGTTGCAATTTGGTCAGCACATGATTTGTACTTCCTGAAGCCTGCCTGTTCCGGTCGCAGTTTTGAATCCAGTGCGTCTTTAAGCCTCTCCAGGATGATGCGGCTTAATATTTTACTTGGGGTGGATAGGAGAGTGATTCCTCGCCAGTTCTTGCAAGCACTGAGGTCTCCCTTCTTCGGCAGTTTGACAAGGTAACCCTTCTTCCAATCGTCAGGTACCTTCTCTTCCCTCCACACCTTCTGCAATAGTGGTGTGAGCATGTCCGCTGTTGTCTCTGCATCTGTTCTCAGTGCTTCTGGCGGTATTCCATCTGGTCCTGCTGCTTTCCCGCATTTCAGTAGCTTTATGGCGTTCAGGACTTCCATTTTCGTTGGGGGATTTATGTTCACTTGTAATTCAGCGGCTGCAGGTGGTATTTCTGGACGAAGTGCAGGTGGTGGTCGATTCAAGAGCTTCTTGAAGTGGTCGGCCCATCGTTTCCTCTGTTTCTCTTCTTTTGTAATTAAATTTCCTTCTTCATCTTTTATTGGTTTCATCTGTGTTGGTCTCTTCCCTGATAGCAACCTGGTTATTTGATACAATGTCGTCAGGTCTCTCTTACCTGCAGCCTGTTCTGCTTCACTTGCCAGTGTGTCGTAGAAGTGTCGTTTGTCTTTGCGTGCACTCTTCTTCACTTCTTTATCCAGTGTTTTATACATTGTGCTCAGTTCCTCTTGTCGTTGAGCATCCTTGCACTGGTTTATCTTCTGCTTCACCATCCTCCTCTCCTCTATCAGCTTCCAGGTATCCGTCGAGATCCATTCCTTGTCTTCTTTCTTCTTCCTTCCTAATACTGTTGTGCAGGTTTCTTTCCACATAGCTTTCAAAGACTTCCAGTGTTCTTCTACACAGGTTTCTTCAGGGATGTCCCTCGACGTCTCCCATTTTGTCTTGATGGCTGCTTTGAAGATCTCCTTTGTAGTTTCATCCTTCAGTTTCCGAGTGTTGTACTTGAATTGAGGTCTATCACCAGCTTCCTTGAAGGCTTTTAACTTGATTTCGAAGGTTCCTTGCACTAGATAGTGGTCTGAACCTACATCTGCTCCTCTTCTTGACCTTGTGTTAAGTAGACTGCGTCTCCATTTTCTTGAGATTGAGATAAAGTCGATTTGATTTTTAGTGTGTCCATCTGGTGAAATCCATGTCGCTTTGTGGATATCCTTGTGCCTGAACACACTGCCTCCAATCACCAAATCGTTGAATGCACAGAATTCTGCAAACAATTCTCCATTCTCATTCATTTCACCTAGCGCCTCTCGACCCATGGTTAGTTCTCTTCCCGTGTTGTCCCCTCCCAGTTTGGCATTCATGTCGCCCATTAGAATTTTGATATCGCCAACTGACGTCTTGTCCAGTGTTGACTGAAGTTGTCTGTAGAATTCCTCCTTTTTCTCTTGCTCTGCATTATTTGTAGGTGCATAACATTGTATGATTGTGACCTTTCTTCCTTTTGAGTTGAATCTTGCTGACATGATCCTGGAGGAGATTGGTTCCCACTGCATGAGAGCCTTCGATGCTCTTGAGGACATCATGATAGCCACTCCCTCAGTGTGCTCGTGGTTGGCGTCTGGGTGACCGGAGTAGATTATTGATTCTCCCGTTGACAGTTTGGAGAGTCCACTCCCATTCCATCTGCTTTCGCAAATCCCAAGCACTTCGATGTTATACCTTCTCATCTCCTTTGCAATCTGGGCTGCCTTACTGGGTTCAAACATCGTGCGGACATTCCATGTCCCCACGTTTACTTTCGCTTTCATCGAGAGAAGACACATCGGCCAATTGGCTTCCCGAAGGCTTTCACCAACTGGCGTCATTTCGCCTCTCCGATTCCAGCGGGGAATAAGTTTGTTTTCATTTTTTATATTTTGTTTGTGCTTTGAAGTTTCTTTAGCGGTTAGATTTGTTTTACGGGGTAGGGTTGCTAGCCCTATGCCCAACCTTCCCTCTTTACCCGGGCTTAGGACCGGCTAGTAACTAGTAAACTAGTTAACCAGGCGAGGTTTTTGCATGTATGAGTCATACAAAATATTCCGATTACGTACGTTGCTTATGATTTCCATCTCTAAGTTCTGAAATTCGTATTGCCTCTGCTGGAAGTTAACTGAAATCCCATGGTATTTGTATGCGTTGAGTAGTAAAGAGTGGACCTTTTATCTATCTGTTTGGTACATAGGTATTCGACAAAAGCTATTCCTAAACTAGCATTATATGTATTGATTAATGAATGTTTTCTAATTTCAGCAACCTGACTATGTTCTTCTACAGCCTACTTCTAAGAAAAGACGAACATCTTCCGGATCAGTAGAATTCCCTCGCCGATACTGCACGCAATCTAGGAATGGTCATTTTTCCGGTGGATTGTCGATGCAGTCTTCTACTAATCTTTCTAATATGTGTGAAGTGGCTAACCATCATTTTGTTAGGTCTCTGGATTCGCGCAACTCTGAAAACGTACGCCAAACTAATATGTTGACGAACCAGCATTCATTGCAACAGCATTGGCCACAGGTACTACCAACACCACAACGTCCCAACCATTTTCAGAACGAACTCCAGCAAGTTACCAGTTTGGTTTCGGTTGCGGCTGTTGCAGCAGCAGCTGCAGCTGCGGCGACACAGAATAGTACGCACTATCAACAGTCTTTCATATCGCCAACTACAACTGTCAGCTTTTCGGAAGTACCATGTTCCAGCGGTCGAAACTACGTTGCGATCGCATCACGAGGTAGAGGGGTTACCCCATCTAGATCGGGTTTCATCAAGCGTCCAAATTACAGATTTTCTTTCTCAAGTGGTATGGGAAGTACTAAAAGAAGATCTGTATTTACTGAGTCCAGTGAAACCAGCAGCCATTCTGCAATTGGCAGCAGACATCCATGTCAAGAATTCAGTGAGCTCAACTGTTTTTATTTTGCCTCACCTATTCATTATCTTGAAGCATAATATACACAGTCGGCATAATCAATCAATTTTCAGAGACGTATAGGTAATTTTCTGAGTTATGTAAAGAACATGATGTCGCTCAAACAGCGTATTAAAAACAATATGGGATTTTCTATGATAGAAATCTGAATCATATTGAAAGGTAGTAAAAGTGTGGTAAATAAAAAGATACTCATGCGGTAAGATTTAGAAACAGGAAGTTGCGACTAAATCATATCACACGTTTATGTGGGAATTAACCGCATTCCTGAATTATTTTTCACCTGCGGTTGGATTTAACTAAGGAGAAATACTCGTGCGGTATCTGACTTATCTGTGCCATGAATGCAAACCTATGTTGCGTTTGACTTGATTTCACTGCTCGAGGAGTAGTAAACTGAATCACATCTGAAAAGTGAAATAATAAAAACGATTTGTCAGTTCCGCTTTTCCTGGACTGGATAGTTTTGATGACATTTGAAAAAAACGTATGTATGCAATTTACAGCAAGTGGTGTGCTTTCGTTTCTTCAAGTGATGTAATCACATTATCCTAACCGTCTTGATTGTAAGTGACACTATGCCTTGGACCACTGTAACTGATTTCTTCTTTGTCGCTGCTGACCTGCAGAGTTTGGAAACTGAATTGGCTTTCTATCCCCCTTTCTGATCAGTTACTGGTTTTATTCTACATTAGTGTTTCTGTCGATCTCCTTGGGAAGTGAATAATATCTCTAGAAAATTATTTGCTTGTCTGAGAACGGAAAATGATTCATCATGCTGTTAGAATGGCCACTACTGTTTGTACTCATGAAGACAACTTTCGTCAGTTCTTCACGAAAGAAATTAACTGGAATGTATTTTGACTCTGTGAAATAAGGCTTATATTTGGCTTATTTCGTTGGTCGCTGATTTATTGTTATCATTTAGCATTAGACCTGTGTTAGTGAGCTTTCTAGTTATTTGTTTTTAATTTTTAACCTTATTTCCACTGATTTATATATTTTATTCTTCTGTTTGATTTCTCTTCTTTTTGGAGCTTGAGTTTGATCGAAATGCTGTTGAGTAGGTTGTGAGCACTTCGTAGTTCACCTATTTTACTGATAAAAAGGTTAAATTCATAGACGATCCATTTTGTCGGTTTTGTGGGAAGCCGGATAGACTACAATCAGTATATCACTATCACTGTCGTAAATCCCTATGCAGATGATCATGTTGACTTTTTTTATGCCTACTTGTATATTTGAGTTTTGGATCTGAAATAAGTCGTGAGATAGTAATCAGTATGGTACACTGTAACTTTTCACTAGAGTTGATTACCCACTTTCACTTAGTGTTTTAATTTTAAGCCTTTATTTAAGATTGATGCTTTATATGCTGGAAAAAAACTACTGCATTTCAAACACCTAAAACTTAAACTATATGTTCTTTGTTTTTCATTCATTTCGTTCTTGTTACATCTGCAATTATTCATGTAAAACTTCAGCTTTCAACAACAAAAACAGATCTTTACCATCACCATCCTCCTTCTCATCAAGGTTATCTTCTGTACTGCTTTGTAATCCTCAACTGAATTCTTGTCCAACGAGTATCATTGACTCAATTTCTTTGCGTAATCCCCACGGTTTGCATACTGAAGGCAGCATAATGTCTAACAGTCTGTATTCGGAAAATGCAACTAACCGTATTCCTGTCGAATACACTGCCACTGGAGAATATCGGGAATCAGTTGTACCGACTGCAGTTGATACTGGTAGGTTCTACAAATTTTTTTATCGTAACTGTTTATGATTACTTCCCTTTACTATGAGTTCGTTGCTCATCAGACTTCATTAACTCTATGTTGTTTAACCACTGTAAAGGTAATTAGTATACCATACCTAAAGTGTTTCTCCGACCGACTGAATACTTCATATCTCTCTGATATGTTTGTCCATCTTTAAAATATAGTTTACTGAACAAGCACATGCAAATTTTGTTTCGTTTTATATTTATTGAGAAATGCAAACCTCGATATAAAGGATACTGTTGGCTCTTTTGAACCAATAAGTCAGTGTCCGAAAAGTATGCTTAAAAGCACAAATATTTGTGTTGCGAAGTCAGTTTTATTTCCTTTCTCATTCAAAGCATACATGATAACGTATCGAATGGAAGAAGCTGTAGACAAACTCCCTTGTCACCTAATCAGTCTCAGTTTATTATATTATTCATCTAGCAACCTGATTTCATAGAAGTTTACGGTATCAAAATATGAACCATCGGATTTCGGTTGATTGGCAACGCTCTGTTGATGAACTATTCAGAGTTCAGGATTCGATTCCCCATGAAGTCTTCGGGGCCTACTTCAGAGTAGTCTCAAATTACGATAGGCGTTCAATATCTTCTGGTTTCCAAGCTGATGTCCATCTGTTATGAAAACTACTGTGAAATCAAGATCCCATTATGTTCATAAATTTTTATGCGTTTATCGATGTACTAAAAACTACCCATGCCTAACTAAAAATGTTTAAGAACGTTGTTAGCACCGAAACAAATCCTTATGAGTGCAATCGCCTAGCAGTGACTGGAGCATCGTCTATGTCTTGTGAACTCTTAGGAGCTGTGGTTCATTGTTTTAGCGACATGCATCAGCCGGTGGGTCACTGGTTCGAGCCCCGCTTCACTTATCTAAGTTTGGACGGGTTTGAGTGGATATAATATGGACACTTAACTAACAGCCAACTCGGACTGCAGAAACCACTGACTCTAAACCCCAGATGAGAATAAGGAAGACTGCTTTGGATGGGAGAGTTTACTACCTCCGTGTGTATGTATGCATTATATAAGACTGTCCAGAAATTGATACATTAGCAGCAAAAGGAAGCGTTAACCAATCAGAAAATTACCTTGAGAATGGCAAAAAAAAATGAACTACTGGCCATGGCGTAAAAATGGCACGAAACCGATAACTTCAGAATGTTTAGACTAATAAATGATGTTTTGTGCAAATGTGGAGCTTCCCAACACACATATACAGGTTGGCATATCAGGTTGTTGGGCATATCGAGATTTATGTGGCGTTATGTAAGAGACTCGGTTCCGATCGATAGCTGCCACTTTGACGTGGTGGTCACATCGGTATATCATAATGACCCAACGAACTACACTGGCTGGAACGCTTGTTTTCTCGGGGTCCCATTGTTCCAGAAGTGTCTGTTAGATAGTGGAAAGACGAAAAGCAGTTACCGTTTTGTTATGATGGGGATCTGAGGATGAAGTCTTACTGATGGCTGTAAGGTGTTCCCATTGGATGACCAGCAGTGCCATGCTGAAGCAGCCTTGCCGGTGGACGGGTGAGTGGCTTAGAAAAGGCCGACCCCCAAAATAGCACACTCCACCCCGCCCTGTGGTCTTCCAGTGCCAGTGTTATGGGTTTTCTCTGTCTAATGTTAGAAAAACCAAATCACGTACCAACGATTCTAAAAAGACTGTGTGACAGGCCTCAAGCAGATTTCCCATGGGTTCTGTAGTCTCGAAAATCTCTTTGTTTTCTCCTTCAGGTACCCTGCAGAAACAACCTCCAGGGTACGGGGAACCTGGAAGTTTCAGCCAACCGCACGCTCCTAGTAGTATACAAGATCCAATCAGATATAACACATCCTCCTTACCTCTGTCTTCTCATTTGTCTGCACTTCCTGACATCAATAAAAATCGTTTGATAGCTTCCTCAACCTCCCACTCTGTGACCATTGCCAACTATCTAAGCCATCGATACCCCACTCCCAGTCCCCTAAGATCCTAGTGTCAATTTCACGCCGAAGCTTTCAACGTCCGAATCCTAAGCCAAATCAGACAGCAGAAACCACTCACCAGAACTCTGGAATCTCGAGTGTGGTTATGCAGTAGACCTCACCGGGCCATCGCAGTGAATATTCAAAATCCACTTCACGAGCATCCGGAGACCTAATGATTAGCTGTCGTAAATTCACTGGTCTAGGCTTACCATCAAGTTGTCAATTAGAAAGTTCACTCCTCGACTGAATAACAGTCAAGATCTGTCTGTGTGCTACTTGACTGAATGGATCTGTAAGAACTAGGAAGGACCGTGAGACTACCCGATACCTGTTCGTAATCTGCGCTTACGCATCCAGCGACTGCAGTTCGAAAGATGAAAGGATGAGTTCTTATCAAAAGCTATCAGTGTTACTACAGAAAGTGAAACGTTCAGATATAGTCATAGTAATAGACGACTTTAACTCTCAAGTAGGGAAGCTGAGCCAAAAGGCAGGGAAGTTGGAGGTATTTACACAGTCTCGTGTCAACAAACCGACAACGGTAATCGTCTATGGTGTGTACTAATCAGAGTTTTTGCCTTTAAACTAGTTTATTTTACTGATCACCCCAGTCTATACGAAAGAAGAAAAATCATTTTGTGACGATTACAGTGAAATCAGTTTGACTAGTATCGTGTGCGAAATCCCAGGATACATAGTTATCCATCGTGTGATTTGGGTTCAAAAAGAAACACCATTTGAGCAATGTCGGGGTCAGTCGAAAAGAACTGGGCAGGACAGGAAAGTCGACCGGTTAGTTTGTGAATCTTCACCAACTGCAGTGACTGAAACATGTGTTGCGTTTGCTGAGTCACTATCTACCTCCAAGTTTTGTAGTAGGAGTTAGATTAGGTTGAAAGCGGGTTCGGAGTATCCAGACGAAGAAGTGGTACCAGTCACTAAAGTCTCTATATATTGTTCTGAGCTTTGTAGGGAGGTGTAGATTATCTGAGTGTGATCCCCAAGACGATAGGAATCAGTTGTTTCTGACTCATATGTATGTGCTCTTTGACATCTTCGAAAGCTTGAATATTTTCACTAACCATCAACTTCAAATTCTTTACTATCTTATACACCTGAGTCTCTTATGATTTCAGCCTTTTTCACATTCTGTTGTGAAGTGTGGCATCTGGGAGCGATGCATTTGAGTACGAGGTTCTACACTGATTTTGCCTATCTCTGTCTGATATAGTTGACATCTTTGGGTCTTATCAACTGCACGTGTTGATGCCCAGTATGGGGAAAAGTGAACGTCCCTGCAAGTCTTGACAAGTTGCAGGGCAACTTACTCAGAACTTGAATCATCATGCCTTTCTTTTTGCCGAATTCCCTTGCTAGGAAGCTCACTTCCCATGTCTCATATTTTATGTTTTATTTTGAGTTATGAAGATAGCGCTATATCGTTTGAAATGTCACTCGAAAATCAAACCGCAGTAGAGTTCAGTTACGTCAGTTTGAAAACCATTTGAGTGATCAAAGAATACTCTTTTTGATAACTTTTTCAGACCCAACAGTTTTATGTACATACTGAGGCATTATGCATCAACAATATTGAAATTCTGCTTGTCAGCTTGTTAATAGTATTATACAATTGAGTAGGTCAATTCAGAAAAGTCTTTTGTGAAGGTTAGCGATAGAATTAGTTGTTACTGGGAATCATTTCAAAATAATTGTTTATCTAAACGAGTACACTGCGTAGGTAATGCCATAGTGTGATAGTCTCATCGTTGATGCATAATTCCTCAACATGCACATATAACTGTTCTACCTGAAGACGTTATCAAAAAGAATATTCTTTGTTCACTCGAATTGCTTTTGAATTGTGGTTCGTCAGTTTAATTTGATTGTGATGCTAAAGTACTGCCTTATGACTACATTTGATCAGTGTTGTTAAGAATCAAAGCGATTTTACCGCTTGTGCTAGGTTAACTTTAAATTATACCATAAGTATAGTTTGTGCTATCTTTAACTGATCGTGCATTGCACATATATCATCCAAAGAAATAAAACTACGGGACATAGGAAACAGTATCATTAAGGGATGAAAGTGAATTTTAGTAATGAAGCTGTTTATTTATACAAATAACGGATACTCTAGAATTAAAGTTTCTAATCATCAATTAGTACGACACTCATATACTCATGCATGACAACTGTGAATTCACAGTTTTTAATAACTTCTGTAAAACTTCTTATTGTCTTTTTTATTTAAACTTTTCTGATTAACACTTTTGATGACCATTTTATGTCTATTTGTGTTTACAGACCTGTTACATCGTAATGTAGTGGAACAACTTGACATTTTTGCAGCACATACATCTCATCCTGAACTATCATCTCAGAGCACTGAGCACAATGATTTATTATCGTTCGCCTGTACTACTGGCTGCAATGCTGCAGCTATTGAGTCAAACAGCAATAGCAGCGGTAATTTAGTAGAATCGGTTGAATCTCAGAGTCAGCCACTGACATATGTGTTGCAATCCGAGATTACAACGTCACAAGATGATCAGTCCAGTTCAACTATGACAAATAAAAAGGTATGTTATTTTTTTCAGCGAAGTATATGTATAGTTCTTCACGTGATGTGTTAGGTTATTTTGTTCCACTTTTTGTATATTTAATCATTAAAACTCAGAGAGAACCACATCTTTCTGACAATTTCAGTACTTTTATTTCATATTGTCTTTGAAACATGTAACATTGGTTTTGAAAGAAAATCAGTATTTGTCGTTATGTGTAGGTATACTGCCAGCCGTCTATTACGTATCAATGGTGAAAATTTTTAGTGACTAGTATTTGTGATCATGAAATCTGTCGTTCTTTTCATTGAGCCATTTTGCGTATGAAAGGTGTGCAGAGTAACTACCATATTTGATGCTCTATTGTTTGTTTGTATTGAACGCAAGATTGGCACAAAATGGACAAAAGATGCGCCATAGCTAGTTTTATATGCTTGTATAGTGAGTGGGAATATAAAATCTCTTGAATCTTTTAAAAGTAAGATATTGTTTAAAAAAGCATTCAAACATCCCAAGGTTATGAGGCAACCAAACCAAGTGGGTATATGGTTCAGTTGACTCATAAGGTTTATTCCGTCTTTGTATTATCTTTACCTAGACAGAGATAACGTGGGTTCCCTCGTAAATGTGTGGTAGTTCAAGTTTTTTTAAACATTTCTTAACACTAGAGGAAGATGTAGTCTTCACGAAAATAAAGACGAGGAACATGGAAAGTCTGGAGAACATGATATCTTGTAACAGAGTGGGACGCCGGAGTTTCATCACCTCTCTTGTGTTTAATATCCACAGGCTGGAATAATTAGTGGTCTACGTGTCCTGTAATAAACTGTCGTTTGTCTCATCAAAGTCGTACTCCCGTCATTTTTACTGTGATCATGGTTGTTTCCTATATTTATGTGTATGTCTTTCCTCACTCGGCTTACCTTATAAATGACAAACAAACACCTCTAACATTCTCAAGTTATCTCTCTAGGTTTCTAGAAAGCATTCACCCATCACGTAATAGGAATAATACCTGTACTGGAGGTGTGAAGAACTTGATCTTTTCAGCAACAAGATAGTGTTATCTGCTTACTGTTGGTCTGCTAAAACGTTTCCTGTGACTAAGTAAATTTTTTAACGTCAAGTGAGGAGAGAACTACAAGTGTATTTATGACCAAGCTAAATAAAAATGGAGAGAGTGGACATACCTGACGGACGAAAATAACTCACATAATGCCTCACTTCTGACTACGTTTTAGTCACCACTGTTCCACATTATGCTCGAAGCCTGCAAGAATGCGTTTACGCACACCCATTATTTCAGAAAAAAACTGCTGGGATCCACTCATCTTTTCGAACCTTTTTCTGAGGGTTGATTACAGTCTTTAACGTTACTTTTATAACAGACTGGTAGTAGTGCCATGGTTTTTCTATATGAGTGGTGTTGTTCATTTCCGATGAATTTCTAGCTAGTTTTGTACTGAAATCAGTCTAAGTATTCTAGTCGTCAACCTGTGATCGGAACTTTCTTGCACTTGTGGTTTTTCTACACCCATTTATTCTTCTTCATGGTGCAGCAAAGGCACCGAGAAATGTGCCACACAAAATAATGCAACAACCTTATCAAGACATAAAGCAAATGGAAGTGGTTAAAGAAAGAGAGAAAAAGGACGATAAAAATAGAAGGATTAGAAACGCAGTACAATAAGATATACGCAAAACAAAATATTACTTTTCAGCAGCACAAGATAGAAGGAAGCTGCACTATGACCACCACTCGTTTAGATTCTGACCCATATCTGATGATGTCGCAAGCCACGGAGTTGTGATTCCTCTTACCTCACCCAGGGAGTCGTGATGCACCAACATATACCAACTCAATACACCTATCCTTCATCCTACGGTGTCACGTCGTACACTGACCACATCTCCGCTTCTTCCACCTAGTCTCAGTGTTAGCAAACAATGAACGGTTTGGAAGCCGTTGGGACGACATGCGTAGCATACGTCCAAGCCACCGAAGCTGGTGTTTCCAGATGACTTCACTTATTGAATGACAATCTCCATCATGTCCAAACATACGCTGTCGTGCCTCAAAACTACTTACTTGGTGTTGCCACGGGATACGAGCAATCCTACAGAGACCGCAATGGTCGAACAGAGAGTTGTCGTACATCCTTAGCTGGGAGGTCAGGTTTCCCAGACGTAGAGCAGAGCCGCTTTCATCGAAGCGTTGTAAACCTAACTTTCTACTGCCAGACTAATGTCGCGACGATTCTAACGGTAGCCCAGATTGGCGTTTGTCACTCTGGCTTTCGATATGTGGTTGAAAACTTTATCACACACACACAACTACCCAGACACACGAACGTTTTGACTACTTCCAACGGCTCACTACCGAGAGTGATCGCTGACACAAGCTCCTGCCAATCTTGCAAAAGTACTTTGCACTTTGGTGGTGCAAAGCACATACCAAACTTACGAACACTAATCGCTAACTGGTTAAGAGCGATTTGAGCAGCCTTTGCATTATCTCACAGTAAGACTATATCGTCCGCATATTCGAGGTCTAGTAGTAGTTCTCTGGGTAGCAGATCTTCACCACCAGCACGCACGTCCTTCAGAGCTGTCTCAAGAATGTCATCGATAGCAAATTTAAAGGAGTTGAGAAATTGGATAACCCTGCATAACCCCACAGCTGGTTTGGAACAATAGAGAGAGGTGGTTGTATGCCCTCACTCTACCTAAGATGTTATGATATAGGGCTTTCGAGATGTTAATAAATGTCTCAGGCATGCTCCTCTCTGAAAGACAATTTCAGAGTACATCTCCATTCAACGAATGGAAAGCAACCCTAATATAAAAAAACAACGATTATTGGTTTGGAATACGTCTGGCGATTTTCAGTCATCTGGCAGAGGGTAAACACATGATCAATGGATCCACGACCTCAACGAAACCTGGCCTGCTCCTCGCGACTCATTTCCTCATGTGTTTCTCCAAGTCTGCGAAGTATGATAGCAGCCAATATTTTCGATGTGGCTGGTAACAGGTTAACACCCTAATGATTATCACATGCATTACGTAGACCATTTTTAAAGATGGGGACAATGATGGCTTCATTTCACAGTGATGGGACACTCTCAGTCTGCCATACCTTCTCAAACAATCTAGTCACTTCCGTGACTAGGGTCATTCCTCCATCCTTAAAAATAGCTGGTGGTAAACTGTCTGGGTTGGGTGCCTTGGTGTTCCTTATGGACCTCAGCTTCGTTAGCTGGGTCATTGTTAAGGGACCATGGAGCCACGATATACTAAAGATGACAGTGCTAGAGCTGTGAACCAGCTAAACTGCTCCACACAGTGTTCTAGGCGTCTTTGAGACTTACGCAAATCATTGTACCTCCTATCCGCTGGGATGGTCTGGCAGGCGTCAAGAAGTTGCAGGTAGCTCGCATAGACCCAGCGTTTATTAGCGGGACTTCCTTCCAAGCTCCAAGCGGCTTTACTCGCCATTTTCATGACTTCTTGCAAGTGCAGCTAGTCCTCGTCTACACTTTCTGGAGGATCGGTGACCAGTCTTAAATCTGGCTCAGATTGGTATTTAGCTGCCATGTTAGGTGCAACTAATTTACTTACATCGACCTGTCCATTTAGAGGCAGATATACGCCTGCTAGAACCAGCGCTTCATTACTGATCAAACACGTGCTACAGAAGGATTAGGAATATTCCACCAACCCTCTCCAGCAAAACTGATAGCGATCCGGTCTGTCCGTGTCTACTGTTGAGTTGAGTTCGGTGGACATCATTTCAAACATTGTATTTTCATGTCTGAAGTTCGTACTGATTCGAACCCCTCAGAAGTGCGGCAGTCCTAGTTGCTACGCCTCACAATAGCATCTGAAGAACGAATAGATAGAAAAATGATATCAGAGTAGCACAGTTTCAGCATGTGATTGCTGTTATCCGTTCGTTCGCCTTAGATTCTGAAAGTGCCAGCGTAGTTCCTTTCTATGTGGCTTAGCCTACTGACTTTTGCCCTGAAATCACCTGCTGGGACAACCATGTATGCGCGTTTGATTTTCAGCAGGAGACGTCACAGTTCCCGGTAGTAATCATCCTTCACTTCATCTAAACTGTAATCAGTGGATGAGTAAACGGAGATTGTAAAGAGACAACATTGAATTTCACTGCTTTTTTAGTCCTCACTACACTGTCCAGTGAAACAACGGGCAAAGGACTATAAGCTCAGGTCCATTTAAGCAGTGCAGTTTTTCCTTTGGGCTTAATGGTGTACCTACACTTGAAAAACTAAGAGAACTAACCATCGAATCTCCAGAAAATCGGTGGGTGGATTTGCCGGATTCATCATATTTGCTGGGTTAGGTTAGATGAATAACTGCACTTAAGTTCTGCTTGCATATTTCACAAGGGTAGTATTTTTCTTTAGCTTTAGATTTTGCATTTCTGACCAACGAAGCTCGCTTTTTAATTTAACGCTGGGTGATATTGAAAGCTTCAATACGTTGTTTGGAGCGCGGTTTTAAAAGATCAGTGATGCTGTTGCATGAACTCGAATTGTTATTAAGAGCTTTGGGACTTGAAGAAGTAAAATATGACGTGGGAATATTGACCGAGAGGTGTGAGGAAGGATTAGAAGTCAAAAATGTGAATAGTTGATTCTGGTCTGAGGGAAAACGAGTGCTGACAGGTGTGAGGACGTTTGTCTTTTTCCGTCTGCTCACACCATGGGAGGTTAATTCTTGAGATACTCGAGAGAATTATATTATTAAGGGTGGTTGTAACCTGGGTGCATGACTGCAGAGCCTAAAGGACAACTGCTCCATGCTAGTCACACACCATGTTTTGGGTAGTTTTGATTTTTCATTGATTGTTTCATCTGGAGTAAAAAAGTACACTGTCGCACTGGATGGAGATCACAACAGAATAAAGTGTTGTTTGGGGTTGACGCAAAGTGGCTTCACCCTAAAACGGCTGGTCATCGATTGAAGACGCCTCTCTGCTATACCAGCAGTGCAACCTTGTCTTCAGACCCCCACCGTAGCGTAAGTTATCTGTACTCCGCAATAACTACTTTTAGTCGTATCGCTATCAAAAAGACCTTTGTGGCACGGTAGGAACAATCGTCCCAACCATTGAACCTTATTGTGTTCTAGCGATATGCAAGTCTGATCACAACTTAAAAGTAGCAGCTGTTGGTTGGGAGTCTTTGTTTAAGTGGAGTGGCTGTTACAACTGGTATGCAGAACACTTCATATCAGCTACTAATTAGTCATTAAAGGTTGCTATTTCAATAAGAATCATTCATTGGTAATTTCTTAGTTGCTCTTATGTTCTTAACGTTGCCTTACGTTCTCTTTTTGTTTAAAGCCAATAAGTGCATGTCGTAACAGTCTGAATCGCAATCAATCTGGAAATTTTGGACCTAATTGCAGTGTAGAAGAAAATGTACAGCTATCACAGTCTTGTTTTCCTCACTCTGAACTGAATGGGTCAGCTGCGAATTTTGTAGTTGCCTCTCCCACTTCTCAAACAGAAGAGGCAACGGTTGTTGCAGCAGCAGTTGTTGCTTCCGCTGCTGCTCACGCTGTTGCTGCTGCTGCTCAGGCTGTTTCTGCCGCTGTTCATCATAGGCGAACATCAGATCGGTCTGGTTTTCAGAGATTCTCATCGCAGTCGAATGAATCAGTTCTTATGCATGCTATGCCGAACCAGCCAGCTATTGATCCGCTAGTGACGTATGTATCGCAATCGCTTGATTGTAGTAACTGTCTTGCAAATCACTTCATTTCTCCTGATATATGCAGTCATGGGGATCACAGCGCGCTAAGAAACGAACGTGGATTAAGTTACAGACAGTCTCAACTCATGGCAGATCTGTCTACAGAAAATGTGTTTAGTTCTTTCTGTATCCACCCAACTTCAGTTTGTAATTTGTCTTCGTCCCAAACTATGTTTAATCCCTCGACTTTGAGCTCATCCACATCTACCATTAGACCGGGAAACTTCACCTGTAATTCAGAAATCAATTTGCACATTCCAAATATATGCACAGGTAAACGTTACGTATTATTATAAAGTTTTTATGTCGGCAATTAAATGTAATATTTGTGATCATGAAGTGAAGAATAGGATTTTGGTTTTTACTATGATTTTAATTTTTAGATTAAGCAAACATTAAATCATTTTACGTGTGTTGCAAGCTACCAAGTTTTTCCATTATTTCAGATTTATATTTGTGTTTGTACTACTTTCTACAACACTGAATGATATGCGCTTCTCATTGTATGAATTACAGGTTTGGGACAGTTTACATCATCTTCTATGTTACATCCAATCATACCAGCTTTTACCACTTCTGGAGGATTGACACTTATTCCAAATACAACTGAATTTGTTGACACTTACCCGTTAACAACAATTGCACAAGTTACGAGTACCACTGATAACGCGATTGGATTTACAATGCCTACATCAGGATTCGCTGGACCTCAGATAACAGAATCACATTTTATTACTACTCCCTTAACATTCTCAAACCATGTAGAATCAACCCTGTTGGGTAACACTTTTACAGTTCCTGCTAGTGCAGCTCATTACCAGGCACCGATTTACCCAAATCTAACTACAATACCTACAGAAGTTGCTGCAGCTGTTGCAGTAGCTGCAAATAACTCATCTGTCAGTCAGTTTGCTGATCCCAGTGGAGTCAATTTCTTGTCGAATATTGTAAACTTATCATCAACAACATGTGGTGCTCGCAGCACACCATTTTCTCCGTATCTACCGCCTCCATTTTCTTCTGTTACCCCTATACCCGTATTGCCGTTGAGACCACCTCAGTTATCAATCATTGGTCCACCTACACTGGCTACAACTCGCGGTGTCAACACATTACTTCAGTTTCTTAGACTCATTCACCAAAGACCCGTAAGTGGTGTATTTAGCTACTACAGAGTTAACAATAAAACGCTTTATGCTTTGATCACTCAAGAGTCTTACTCTAATATCTCGACTGCATTTATGAAGATTTCAGCAACATCACCATTTTTGTGGCTACTTATTTGATATATTGAATCTCTTTTTAGCGAAACACCAACCAGAATCACTACAAAATCTTCGCATACCTTGATTCAGAATGTTTGTCGAAGTGGGTTCAAGTCCGAAAAAGACCAAAAGTGGTTAGACCAAGAAGTTACAACAGCCGATGAACTCTCTGATTGCCCATCTGAACCGTATAAGTCACCGGGCTGAAACCTTCTAGATGTTGTGAATCTTGGTAAAGTGACTCAGTATAGGTCACAGTTGTAAAAACACTTACACGCTTTGCCATCTTCCAAAGGTAGAAGATTTTCACTGACATTCATTTCTCTTTGAAGTTTTTGGTCGGATGCAAAAGGCCTATCAGGTGTTTACTAGTTTATACCATATCAAATGCCGGCGAGAAATCTGACTACCTTTCACTACAGTGAGAGTGAACAGCTGTGAAGCATTCTGGTTGTAAGTAGAAAATATAGAGAGACTATATGTTTTTGAATATTACTATCTTCATAGCGTCGTAGTGCTACCAAAAATAGGTTTTATTCTTTTAGAAAACGAAATTTGGGAAATATTTTAAGACAAAAGAGGAAGAAGAGTTTGAAAATACTCAGCAACAAAAGTTCACAACATTAAGCGTTTGAATTCAGTTAAAACTAATAATGCTTCTCATTTTTGAATGTGTAACACTTCATGGATGACCAGTATAGAATTTAAGTTGCTTATAGATAGAGTGACTACTCACGTTGTTTTCGCATCCCAGTGTGGGTGGGTATGAAAGATCCACATACATAATTTGATGTTGATGTTTTTTGATAAAACATTCATCGAAAAAAATTACAGAAGTAACCAACCTTTTAAAAATTGAATAGCAAAACTCCAAGACACGTGAATGAAAATATGATGTATTACTCTTCTAAATTGAGAATTTCTAATGCTATAAGCCCCGTGATTATCCTATTCTGATTCACTACTTATCTGTTTCTCATTCACTGATAACTATGGTCATTATAATGAGCTTAAGTTTTTTGACAATCACATGTTACACGTCATTATTTGAAGATAGAGGCTAGAATGTCTGTTTCTGTATTGTATCAATTTTCTGAAAGAAAACCAACTGCAGTAATGTTGTCAAAATATCTTTAAATTGTGAAATTTCACATGTATCTAGTGAGATTCCCCTTTTTGGACATATCCTACTTCGTTACTGCGAAGCATGGCCATCGAAGGTAACGAATATGAAAAGACTTCAAGTGTTTGACAACTTTTTCCTTCCTTACGGGGCCCGCTATTCAGAGTTTAAGTTTAGAGTCTTAGGTAAAGAAAGCAAGTCAGTTGATGAAGTTGAAAATTCTCATCGACTTAGGCAACTGGAGTTTGTGCTACTTTTGCCACGTCCTCCTTGACGTGCAATGTTAGCTAATGTAAAACCAGGTCGGGAGAAAGATGAGGATGATCGGTTTAGGACATAGCGCTAATCCATGTAGTCTTTGACTGTCAGTTTGAGTCTTGTTGGAGAATATCAGCTCCGAGATTAGGTTTCACAAAACTACGTAAACTGATGATTAGACACTTTAAACGATATTACCAAGAGTCAGTCGCAGTGGTGCAAGTGCTTCTATGTCCCGCCTTCATCTTAACCGTGATATTACTTTTCTTTGTTTGCTTCAACCCGTTTATTATTTATGTATTCCTTCCTACGATTTTTATTTCTAATGTTTTCATTTCTTTGCTTTTTGTCCTGCTTCCTTGTATGTTGCAACTTGAACTGTTTTGCAATAATTCCAGGTCCTAGGTTGATAATGTCTTTGTGTTTTGACTTGTTTGTATCATAGCTTTTTTTCTATACTTTGTCTTCACATAAGAAAACTGCTTCTTGGTATGTATACATGCAAAATTTGTAGAAACTGATTTTCGAGTGTTACATAATGTTAGAGTTTTATCTGTGTAATTCACCCTCATTTCTATTTACATGAAAAATATAGTTTTTAGATACATTTAACAAGTGGCTATCAGCATTTCTTTGGGCTTGATGTCCAGGACAACATTAGCATAAGTTTTAAAGACTTTACATGGGATAAGCCGTTGTGATGTTAGTAGTCATATTGCAGAGAAGAAATTTAGTGGCGGTCCTGTAATATTTAGACGAAATATATTTTAAATCGTGATTTTTGTTCTTATACATACTGTGACTAACTGGGAACGCCGTTGCCATGTATTTATACATTTTTCCCTTCCAGGATTCGTACGCATTGCCGTATTATCCTTCTGCTATGACTGCTACTGCTGGAGGATCTAACCAGAGTGTTGTGGTGAGCGCTTCGGCGGGTGTGGCCTCTGGAACTCGAGTTGCATCAGCAGTTACACCACCTCTAGTACCACATCATCCCATTGCACCAGTTCAATCATCCTTTTTGTCTGGTTACACAGAGGGTTGTACAGCTGCTCAAGCCAATCTGCTATTCAGTAATCACCAAGCACCAATCCCACCTTCAGTTAGTGTTCAGCCAATTACTTCGGCAGCTGCTGCACTAGCAGTCGCCATGGCTGCAGCTGTCGCTCTTCAGCAACAGAATCATAGACACGGATCATCAAATTCCATATCCATGCTTACTCCGTCTAGAGCTGCACCTACTCCTTCGATACCAGTTCCAATTCTTCATGCCCACCTTTATTACCCTAGGAATGTGGCAACAATGCAACAGTTACAAAATAATGCTCACCAACAATGCTACCACAGTCACTATGGTGGTGTACAACATCAGAATACTGCATCTCAGCGACCTGCTTCTATGCCGAACGCATCTATAAATGGCTTCGTACCATCTAATTCAGTTGGTCCAGTGTTTACAGCTGCTAGTGGTACAACTTCTCCAGCCTATCTAACCAGGCTTTTTCCATTTTTGTTGGCTGTGCCTGCACCATCTACCTCAAACAATACATCAGCTGCAAACTTTGCGGTTAGTAACTTATCAGAAACCCTACTTGCCCACTACACTGATCAGTCGGTTGGGTTCTCGAACGGAAATTCAATTTTATCTCAGACAGTATCTGATCCTACTTCGGCTGCAACTGCTGCAGCCGCAGCCGCAGCCGTTGCAGCTGCTGCTGCTGCAGCTAGTGTTGATACGTTATTACATTTGGCAGTTCAGTTAGAATCGAATAGTGGTCGTGGCCTTAACAAGGAGGAATTAGACAGTTTAGCTGTCTATCCATATGTGTCAAAAAGTCTAGACAAACGTATTGATAAACAAAAAAGCTTTTGTGATGAAACAGTAGCTAGTGAGAAAAATGACCCATCTGAATGTGACAGATGCATGATATGCCTGGAAGATTATGAAGAAAGTCAGCAAATTCGTCAAATGCGTTGTTCTCATGAATTTCATGCAAATTGTGTGGATAAGTGGTTAAAGGTCAGTTACCTTTTATTTATTATTCTTTTGAGTTAAAACGGTGTGCTGTGTTAATGTTTGAGTGAGTACATAAGGTAAATAAGAAGTGGCATTGTTTGTTTCTCACATTTGCGCTGGTTTGCATTAAGAAATGGTCCGTGTCATCATGTTGAAAACTGAATGTTCGTTCATTTCTGGCAGTCACTTTGATATTTAACTAGTTTCAGAAGTTTTAGCAAAATATTCGGAACCATCTCTAAGGATTTGAACTAGTTTTATATGTAAATCACTTGATTGGCACACTAATGAAGACTCCAGAAAATTTCAAATTCATCATATATTTTTTGTATTTACTTTGGAGGCATAAAGGGTCTGGCTAAGTTAGGTCAGCATGAGACTTTTGATTTTAGTGAAGTGTTTCGTCTCAAAATCAGCATTGAAAAACCCGTGTATGTATTTTCCTAGGTGTAACGATATCCCAGGTTTTCCGATGAAGCATATGAATGTGACAAAAGTGAAACATTGTGTGATAACACTAGTACATGCAGGCAACGACGGTAAAATGGTTGTGACAACACTAAAGAAGTATATGGTGGATCTTCGTTATTTCTAATGGATCATTCTAAATGCATGTAATAAAATATGTCACGCGGTTCGACTTTCCAACCATTGAACTGATTACAGTTGAAGGTAGAAATAAACTTCTCCTGTATCGAAATTTCACCACATTAACACCTTGACTGACTGACTAGTTGACAAAATCAATGTAGAACTGCGCTCATAGGTGCATAGGTTCAAGTCCCCACACTTCACAGTAGTATCCAAAAGACAAGTAGATAGAATGAGTGATATCAAAGTGGACAAAGTTGAAGGAGAGAATAAACAATCGGAAGATAATGGATAGTGGGAATATTGAAAAATGCTAAGGAGTGAATACACCTGCACCATTGTGACCGGTTTCCAGCCATGTCACCAAAAGCCTTTAACCAATGATTCCTTTCGTTTCGGAGACCCCAACTAGCCAGTCTACATCTATCCACATAGTTCAGACCAATAGTTAGGGACTTCGTGGATTGGTACCATATCTTGGTCTGGCGACCCTGAACCTTCTTTCAACCTAATCCAACTTCCCCTAGCCTAGGACGTCGAGGTAGGTGGTGGCTCGGCATGTGCAGTACATGTTCAAGACATCTCAGTCGACTAAGGTTCACAGCTTCATCAACCAACTTGCTTTTCTTGCCTAATGCTATTCTTCTGACCTCAACATTGCTCACACAGTGTTTCCACCGAATGCGAGCAATGATACGAAGACATCTGTGACCTAAACCCTGTAATCGCTTCATGTCTCCTACGTTTAATGGCAACGTCTGACAGTCGTAACTCAGGACAGGAGACTGAAGCGCAGTATACTCGTCTTTTATTAGGTAGTTGGATATCTCGCCAGTCGGTGCCACAAGTAACGCATGTTAGCGAATGTCTAACCGGCCTTCTGTATCTGAGCTGAGATTTCATCAGCAACCAACCTGTTCGGTCCAATCCAACTCCCCAGGTAAGTGAAGTGGTCGCTGTTTTCCACCACTTCACTCCCTATCATTAAATTGGGATTACTTGCAGCACACCAGTCGTGGAGTGTCATCTTACATTTGGAAGGTCCAAAACGGATGCTAAACATACTCAGATTTCTGCTCAATGCGTTCAGGAGACCCTGGATTTGTCAGCATTTTTAAGTAGCAGGACAATATCGTCGGCATACTCCAAGTCAACCATATTACCTCCAGTGAGTAGGTCAATCGCTGTGCAGTCAGGTGTATGTAAGGTTATGTTCATTATTACGTCTATGACGAAGTTAAATTGAAACAGTGACGGTGGGAATCCCTGGTGATCACTAGTTGTTGTCAATTCATATGACAACTCTCCATAAGCCCTGACATTGCTACATGAGTTCGAGTAGAAGGCTTTGATTAGCGTTGCATAGTTGCTCGGTACTCCTTTCACACTTAGATACTGCCACAACACCTCACTATCGCCTGTGTTGAATGCACTCTTCAGGCCAAAAATGTGGCAATTGTAGTCCGTTAGTAAGTATGCATGTGTTCCAGAATCTTTTTAAGTGTGAAAATCTGATCGATGCACCCTGGTGCAGGTTTGAAACCAGGCTGTTTTTCTCAAGTTCGCTGTTCTTGATCTCCGGTTAGGTGTTGGATAACTATTGACCGTCGGATCTTGGATACAATACTAGTCAAACTAATTACCCTATGATTGTCACAAGAAGACTTCTGTCCCTTCTTATAGATTGAGATGATCTGTGAAGTAGACGAGTCTGATGGCATTGTCTCTGATTCCAATACACTACCTAGTACCTATGTCACTTTAATTAGTAACTTCTTACCTTGATCCCTGAAAACTTCAGGTGGCAAACTGTCAGGTTCTGGTGCTTTGTATCGTCGCAGGGTCGATACGGCTTTCTCAGTGGAGAGGAAAGTTGGAGAACCGACATCTACGTCCCATTCAGGTTCAAACTGGATGTTAGGTAGCTGTCGCATCGTTTCAGGTTTGATATAGCCTTCTCAACATCAAGGAGACTTGTAGGATGGAAATCTATGTCCTGTTCAGGTTCAGTCTAGATGTTGGGCAAGTGAAGGTTTGCTGAAGGCCAGTTGAACTATGTCTCTAGGTGTTCTGCCCAACGTTCTAGCCGCCTTTCCAGAGAGGTTATCAGCATCCCATCATTATAGATGATGGTTTCACTCATCATTGTTTTCTTCTTGTCGGTTTCCCTAATAATCCCAAACAGCTGCTTGATGTTACCCAACGCTGATGTCTTCTCCATCTCTCTCGCTTTCTCCACCCACAACTGCTCGTGGCCGGCACGAAGACCCTTGGTTAATTTACGTTTCAGTTACTTTCGCCCTCCATCGTGGTCGGCGCCAACTGGAATCGATCTTCCCACATCAATCAGTTAGGCTGACGTCGTGGAAACCCAATGAAATTTGCTAGCCTTCGAGTGTAGGTTACAGTTGTCTGTACCTGTTTCATGCCAGGTTTCCTCAGAATGAGCTGTAATGTTCAGATAAATGCTTAGCTATCTCTTCCCTAGACTCGGATCGGACGTTCTCATGCTCCAATCGACCACAGACAGACTTTACTATCACCTAGTTTCTCCAATCAGTAGGGCGCAGACATACACGAATTGTACTAGCGCGTAATCGTAGTCCAAACTAGCACCCTAGAGAGAGTGGCTATCCCCTACTGATCCCCTCCAACGATGGCTTACAGCGATGTGATCCATCTGTGTCCATCGTTGGTCTGTAGTCAGCGAACGCCGTGTGAGACAGTGTCTCTCTTTATGCTTAAAGTTAGTTTTGGTCAGAAACAAGTGGCTATCGCAGCAAAATTGCAACAGACGATTGCCATAGACTACGTGTTGGTATGTGATCCTTAGATAACTCTAAGATGCCTTTCTGATTGGCCCAACTTCTCTACTTGAGCGTTAAAGTCACCTGCCACTATGACTACATCTGAACGTTTTACTTTATGTAGCAAAATTGACAGCTAATACAATTCATACATTGTATCATCCAAACTGCAGTCGGTGGATGTGATAGTGCAACTGAATACCTTAATATGATAGGCTGATTCGTCAATGGTTATCACAAGAGGAATTCTCTCCTCTCTTGAAGACTGAAATAATCAGTGATTCTGATCAGCCAGAGCGGATCGTAATTGATTCCCATATACTAGCTAACACTTCCGTCAACCTGACTAAGAGCACCCTACCACCATCGTTGTATACCTCTGTAGTTAGTCCTTCTGGTCCTGGCGTCCTTCCTCGTTTCAGGTTACCTACTGCTTTCTCGACTTCTGCTAGTGTTTTTTTTGGGGGGGGGGGTATCTCAATGTTCCATTCAGGATTCGACTGGATAGAGGGCAACTTAATGATGGCTGGAGGCCAGTTAAACTGCTCCTCGTAGTGTTCTACTCATCGTTCCAGTCCACTGCCTTGCGAGTGAATCGCAGACCCGTCCTCCTCCACTATAGCCTCACTAACAGTTGTTGAACTTTTCCCTCCAGTTTCCTTAATAAGCCTAAATAACTGTCTATTGTTACCAATCGTTGCTGCCTTTTCCATCTCTTTAGCCTTCGCTGTCCACCACTGTTCGCGGTCGTTGCGTAGACGTTTTCTCAATCTACTTTTAAGTTGCTCTTGCTCTTCATTGTATTCGGGGCGTGCAGGGATGCGTTCACGTGCATCCATTAGTTTGGAAGAAGCTGCTGATATCCACTATTTTGGAGTCGGTTACAGTATTCAGTGCTGCTTTTACAGCAGACTGAAAAAGGCACCAAGCTTCTTCTGGATGACTGATAGTCTTCTGCTCCGATAATTGCGTAGCCAACTTCTCACTGAACACGGCTTTGGTGTTTCCGTTGTCCAGCAGTACTTGTAGTGGTTTTGTTGCCAAATTTTTTCTACGTCCATTGAGACACAGGCATATACGTGCTCGGACCAACGCATGATCGCCGTCCAAGTGCGTACTCCAGAAAGAGCGGCAGTCTTCCACCGATGACTAATAGTAATGTGGTCTATCTGTGTCCATCACTGAGTTGAGCTCGGTGGATGCCACGTCAGACAGTGCCTTTTTTTATGTCTGAAATTGGTACTGGCTAAAAATAGGCGGTTATCTGAGCATAGTTGTAATAGGCGATCATCGTTATCTGTGCATTCAACTGGGATTCCGAAAGTGCCACCTAAGTGCCTTTCTGCCTCACTCAGTCTACCCACCTGTGCATTGAAGTCACCTGCAACAACCACCACGTGGGGATTTTCGGCTTTCGAGAGGAGGCTAAACAGTTTACGGTCGAACTCGTCCTTCACTTCATCCGAACTACAGTCTGTGAGTGGTTGCGTAAGCAGAGATTACAAAGAGACAACGGCGAGTCTCACTATTCCTTTTAGTTCTCACTGTGCCGTTCAGCCTCAGAGCTCAGAGGCGACTGTCAACTGGGATCCAGTCTAGCAGTGAGTTTTCTGCCCGACTGCATAGTGGTATGCCTACACCTGCAAGACCACGAGAGCTAGCTATCGAATCTCCAGAAACTCGAAGGGTGAATTTTGCGAACTCACCAGATTGGTCAGGAGAGGTCAGGTGAATAACCGCACTTGGGTCCTGATGTGTGTCTCACAAACACAGCACACATCCATGGTCCGAGTTGCTAGAGTCTTTGCCTATGAAGCCATTTGACCAATTTGACGGAGGGTGTGAACATTGAAGGCTCCAATATGTAATTTGGAGCGTGGTTTAAGGAGACCAGTGATGCTTTTCTGTGGACTCAAATCGTTTTCAAAGGCTGCAGAACTAGGAGAAATTGAAGATGATGTAGTATTGTTAATTGGGAGACATGAAGGAAGATTAGGAGGTAATGAGGGTAGGGGGAAGTGTATAGTAGTCTGAGGAGACTTGAGTGCTGATCGAGTTGTGAGGGCGATTGATACTTCCCGGTTGCCCACACCGTGGAAGACTATTTCTTCTTAAGGTACCTGAAAGAGATTTGTGTGACCGCAGAGCTCATTGGACATCTGCTTGAGGCCTGTCACACGTAGCCTTTTGTGTATGATTATTCTGAACTTTTGTATTTTTGGGACTGTATGGTGGAAAGGAAACGATAAATGAAGCAACACCACCGGCCTGGCAGACCGTGGGGTATGGTGGAGTATGTTATTTTTGGGGCTGACCTCTCCTAACCCCCGTCCCCTTCCACTGAGAAGGCAGCATCAGCATAGCCCTTCTACTGTCACACTCCATCCAGCTGGCAGGAGTATGACTTCGCCCTGAGACCCCCATCACAGTGTAGTAATTTATATCACAACGGTAACTGCTTTTCGTCTTACCACTATGCAACAGACATTTCTTGTATGGTAGTACCTCGAGGGAGCAAGTGTTTCACCAGCATAGCTCGTTGGGTCATTGTGATATGCAAGCCGGACCACCACGTCAATGTAGCTGTTATCGATCTGGACACCTTTAAGACTGGTCGGCCACCGAGACGTTTCGATCACAAGAAATACCTTCGTTGTATGCCTTTTTAGCTTTTAGGTCTTTAGTTATTTTGATTTTCGGTCACCTGATAGTGAATACTGTACATACTTCTGATTTATTTTGGATGTATAGTAGCTTCATTAATGATAATCAGTTGCTGTAGAGGGAGTCTGCGCTATCTCATTGACGTCGTTTTAACCTTGAAATTTTCGTTGGTTTTTAAATCTATGATTTTCGCTCAAGAATTCAATGCGAATCTTATTATTGGTTTCCAAACAGTTGTCACCAATGTAATTTATTTGGTGATGAGTTTCAGTGTTTTTGTTCTCAGAGTACTAGTTGAGCAGCAAGCGCTAGTTACACATTTTGTAGCGATCAGTTTCTTTTCCACTGATAAGTGACCGAGTAAAGGTGCAGATCAAATAGAAGCATAGGCTGTTACAGTAACCTGATTATTACTCTGCATAGCAATGCATTTTTAAAGCCAATGGTTTACCATTATCTGCAGTTCCATCTAATGATTACTCTTTTCTTTCTTCGTAGACAAAACGTACATGCCCTCTTTGTCGTGCAGATGCATTCACCGGAAGTCAACGAAAAGATGACTGTCTGTAGCAGAAGAAAAAGCTGATCTCTTGATCATAGTTTATGCAAGCCTAAATACATCAAGTGATAAGAAGACCAAGTAAATAATTGATTTGCAATGAATTCATCTTTTCCTTTTCCAGTCATATTTACCCGGTCGTTTATCTTTTTTACTCAGTTGTAATCTTGATTTGGTTATTCTGACGAATATGGTGGTTTTGTTTACCCTCCTCCTACTTTGTATGTTCACGTCTCACTTTTAACTAATTCCCTGACCTGCTTTATTTTGCGCATTTAATTTTGTATTACATATACATTTTTATGGCGGAGGACACAGTTTACTTGTGAAATTACGTTATCTGTCTATTTGTTTGTCCTATGATTTTTTAAAAGCTGTCCTTTAAAGTTACATAATCACTTCTTACTTTATCTCTTTCCAGCGTTTTTTTAGTTTCAACAGACATTTTTTTCCCTCAAAAAGAAATTCTGTCCTATGCAAAATAGCTATTCCGCTTTACAGACAACTCATCAGAGAGGAAAGCATTTGATTTTACTTTCCTTTCTTAGCTAATGCACTCTTTATAAAAAGTATATTACGGATTGCAAGTTACAGATAGTTAATGAAGAATATCTGTTTTGTTAGCTTTTCTTGGTGTGCAAACATTTCACACATAAATATGCATTTATGTATTGTTGCTGTTATTCCTGAGGGTCAACTTTCGCTCACAAACACATAGATACTAATATGGTAACTAAAATTTCTACAGCCACATATTCATTTGATTATCTGCTAAATAAAATAAATATGTGTACCCCTTCATTTCTGGTATATCTGTTCACCATGTTTATTATACATGTATACACTTGTACTACATAACGACTTTTCTTTAAAAAACGTTCGTAATAATTTATTACTGAAGTAATATTTTGGTTAGTGAACATCCTTCAGTAAAAGCTATCATTTTTTTTCTATAGAATCATTACTTTGTACATATTCTAAATTCTATACAAGTAGTAAGCAGGCAGTCAAGACCAAAAATTTGGAAAAGCGCATAGTTAACTGTTAGAGAATTATTATCAGTATTTGTCCTTAGGTTTCCTAGTGAAACATAGGGCTTCAGTAGCACGTCGCCATTTCACTCAGTTCTGTGCTGTCTTTTGAACCTGGCTCCATGACTACCCAAAAGCTTTCATTTCCTCCTCACATGATCTCCATGTCACCCTCGGACGCCCAACTGGTCGTTTACCCTTTGAGTTCTACTCGAGAGCCTGGAGTGTGATATTCCTAAATGGTCTCAGTGTATGCCCGATCCTTCTCCACTTCCTTCTGCATATTTGTTGGGCGATGAGCTCTTGGCTGATTCATTGGCAGGCCAGAGTGAGTTCCTTGTTGCTTATTCTTTCTCGCCGTCTAATCTTGAGCATCGAGCGTAGGTAGCTGTTGATAAATGTGTGTAGTTTGTTGGAGATGCTTTTCATAACGCACCAAGTCTCTTAACCATCACATAGAAGCACTGACTTACTTGACTGAATTAGTGTTGAAAATCTGGATCTTGTTATTTATGCTGAGTCGAGTGGAGTAGATCTCCACACTGATTTCAGGTTAATGAGGGTCTGTCTTGCTGTCTTTCAGATGCTGGTTTTGATGTCCTCATCTGTGCCGCCGCCACCGCCACCGCCACCGCCTGTAGTTGAAACGATGCTGCCTGCCGAGGTAGGTGAAAGAGGCAACTTCCTATAGATTTCTCCCGTTGATGGTGATTGGTGCTTGTTGCTATTGTCGTTGTTGGTTGGGTATCTTCATCACCTCTGTCTTCTCTACGTTCACCTGAAGGAACTCTCGTCTTCACTGCCCTGCCTCGCCTCTTCTGTCAACTTGTTATTTTTCGCCTGTAGATCTTCGAGTTTGTGCGACATAAGATATTAGAAATGAATCGTTGGCAAAATACAAATCTTCCAGGCTTTTTTCATCTGTCCAGTGTATGCCTCTCTTCTCGCTCCTCACAGTTTGTTGCATGATCCAGTCCAGTCCGGACCGGTCGACCACGATCAGGAAGATGATCGGTGATGGTAGGTGACCTTGTCTTACTCCTTCCTTCACTTCAAGGGGTCACTGAGCTTTCCATTGAGAATCACTTGACATGTAGCATCATATAGCATGTAGTTGCTGTTGAATGAGGTTGATAAAGGTTTGTGGCACTAACAGAGTTGTGTTGAAGCAGCTGCCAGCCAAATTATTTCTCGGTTGACGCTATCGAAGGAAGGCGTTTTCAAAGTCGATGAAGTTGAGGTACAGGTACAGTGGACTGCTATTCTATGTTGTTGTCAATGATGATGCGTAGTGTTGCAATTTGATCGGCACATGATTTGTTCTTCTTGAAACCAGCCTGTCGTAATTTTGAAACCAGAGCATCTTTTAATCTCTGCAGCATGGTGCGGCTTAATATTTTTCTTGCTTTGAGTGGACAGCAGCATGATTTTGCTCCAGTTCTTGCAAAGAATAGGTCGCCCTTCTTTGGAAGTGTGACAAGATAGCCTTTCTTCCAATCGGTAGGTACCCTTCCTTCCTTCCTTGCAAACCTTCTGCAGTAGTGGTGTGAACGTGTCCGCTGTTTTCTCTGTGTATGTTTTCAGTGCCTCTGGTGGAATTCCATCTGGTCCTGCTGCTTTCTCGGATTTCAGTAACTTTATGGCGTTCAGGACTTCTACTTTTATCAGAGGAGTGGTGTTCACTGGTAATTCTGTGACTGGGCTGCTGATGGCATTTCTGGACGAGTTGTAGTAGTGGTCGATTTGAGAGCTTTTTGAAGTGGCCAGCCCATTGTTTCCTTCGTTTCTTCTCTTTGGTAACTAAGTTTCCTTCACCATCTCTCATTGGTTTCGTCTGCGTTGATCTCTTCCCAGATAGTACCCTGGTTATTTGATACAATGTTGTCAGGTCTCTCCTACCTATAGCCTGCAGCCTGTCCTGCTTCACTTACCAGTGTGTCGTAGAAGTGTCTTTTGTCTTTGTGCGCACTCTTCTTCACTTCTTTGTCCAGTTTTTTTGTGGATTGTGTTCAGTTCCCGCTTGCACTGGTTCATCTTGTGCTTCACCATCTTCCTCTCCCTCTTCTATCGGCTTCCATGTGTCCGTCGAGATTCATTCCTAGTCTCGTTTCTTCTTCTTCTTCTTCTTCTTCTTCTTCTTTCCTAACACGGTTACGCAGGTTTCTTTCCATGTCGCTTTCGCAGAGTCGCAGTGTCCTTCTACTCAGGTTTCTTCACGGATGTTGCTCAATGTCTTCCATTTTGTCCTGGTGACTGACGTGAAGATGTCCTTTGTAGTCTCGTCCTTCAGTTGGTTTCTGTTCTGGATGTTGAATTTGAACTGTGGTCTACCTCATCATCATCATCATCATCTTCTTTGAAGGCTTTCAACTTGACTTTGAAGGTTCCTTGCACTAGATAGTGAGTGGTGTGAACCTACATCTGCTTCTCTTATTGATCTTGTGTCCAGTAGGCTGCGTCTCCACTTTCCTGAGATTGAGACGAGGTCGATCTGATTTTTAGTGTGTCCTGGTATCTGCGAAATCCATATCGCTTTGTGAATATTCTTGTGTTTGAACACACTACCTCCAATCACCAAATCATTAAATGTGCAGAAGTCTGGAAACAGGTCTCCATTCTCATTCATCATTTCACCGAGTGCTTCTCGACCCATGATTATTTCTCTTCCTGTGTTGTCTGCTCCCAGTTTTGCATTCATGTCACCCATTAGAATTTTGATGTCGCCATCTGGGGTGGGGTCTTGTTCATTACTGATTGCAGTTGTCTGTAGAATTCCCCCTTCTCTTGATCTGCATTATTTGTAGGTGCGTAGCGTAGCATTGTATGATTGTGACTTTCCTTCCTTTTGAGTTGGATCTTGCTGTCGTGATCCTGATCCTGCAAGAGGAGATTGTTTTCCACTGCATGAGAGAGAGCCTTCGATTCTCTTGAGGGGGGTGGGACATCATGATAGCCACTCTAAAACTCAGTATGCTCGTGGTTGTCGTTTTGGTGAGAATATCGGAGTAGATTATTGACTTTCCAGTTAAGAGTTTGGGGAGTCTACTTCTATTCCATCTACTTTTGCAGATTCCACGCTCTCCTATGCTACATCTCATTTCTTTTGCAATCTGGGCAGCCTTGTTAGCTTCATACATTGTGCGGACATTCCATGTCCCTAACTGTTAGAGAATACCATCGACTTCGTCAAGTGCTTAGAGTACATTAGTGGTTGGCTCTTAGCAAGCGTGTTTGTAGTCTGGCCCAGTATGTTAGGGGTGTGAACATTCGAAGGTTCAAAGCAGATATTTGTCGGATTGCATTTGCTAGCACCGGGTACTGCATGTGATTATATTTACTACATGTCAGCGAATGCAGACGTAGGACGTTATTTTGGGGAAGAATTATTCGTATTGGCTAGGAACTATATATGATGCAGCATACTACATGAACTATATTATTGACTTCCGACTCCAGAAAAATTAGCAATTTCTATGCAGTATAAATTGGCAGTATGCTGTTAATGAAATCAGGGTAATGGGTATACAACAGAATTTCAGGTCAGGAAATTTTAGTAGGAATCCAGAACATGACTGATAAACCGTTTAGTCAAAGTTGGCTTACTCCTAACGTGCGTGGAGAGTTGTTTTGTAGATGGTCACACCGGACTCTTCTGCATTTGTAGGTAATTGTGATTCTTGTCTTTGACATAGGTGACGCTTTTATGATGAATAACTATCGGAATAGTATCGACTGAAGTCTTTGGTAAAATATCTTATCTCACACTCGTAATATGTTTTTCAGCTGAACAAGATGTGAATGTTTCTCATTACATTTACCAAGATTTCTAATCGTGGTTCATGTAACCTAGAGAAATATGAAGTGCTAAAAGATATGAAGTCACTGTCGCCGGTAAGTTTAAGACATCACCCTTCTATTTTTTCTGTTTAACGGTTAAGTTAACCTCTTTAAAGTCACTGAAATATCGATGACTACTGTTATGCGAGTCATGGATACGATGCTGGCCAATGAAATCGATGCAAACATCTCTGTTCACCAAAAATGTTGGTACACGCAAGTGTTATCCTGATGAACACCCTAACTCACTTGTTAGTTCTGACAACAAACAAATCACAGACACGTTGATTCATTCAGAAGAGCGATTTATTTAGCAATAAAAATCAGGGACATATTTAGGGGAAGTATTAACCACTGGTCTGAATTTAGGGCTGGACATGTCAGTGTGTAAACAAGCACAACGAAAATGCTAATGGTAATTTATCATACACGAATATTCTTTTGATAAAACAAGCCTTCAAAGACGGTGTATAAGTTGGTGACGTAGTATATCATCTAACTAATAATACTGCAATGGCCTTTAGAAGGATTCAGCTGCTTTTTCATAGTAATTTAAAGTGAAAGAATGTTAAACTTAAAAAGATATCATCGGAAGATAACTGGATTTACAGACTTATCATTTCATGGCACATTAGTACCGTATTGGTTAGTCTTCATTCATAAAGGCTTACTTTTTCGTTTTAGAAATGGACTTTATTTGCGAGTGCATATTTTCACGAAGTTATTTACTGTAATATTACGATTTCATGTCTTGGGAAGGGTAAAGTGGAACTCCTCATTTCAGTTTATTACATTTCTCAGCAACATGATAAGCTTTCTCATCAACAAAACTTAAAGGTTTAGCTGTGCAAAGTCACTTTTCTCTTTGAAGTTATTCAAAGTTGTAACAACGAACACTTTCAGCGAAACTATGTTAGAGGACTTCTTTTTAATAATTGCACGCATTTGCTTCCCTTGATTAATTTGAACAAGAAAGGACCAGGTTTGCGTGTTAAAATGTTATTTTATTTGATGCATATTCGACATCTACTTGCGGTCAAAATTAACAGTAGTGTTTGGAAAA